GTAGTTTGAGGAGTTTGGGGGAAACCAGACTTGGTCTAGGCTCATTTCAACTTTCAGGGTGTTAATCAAAACTGCTTGAAAAACTCCAGATCCTACCCACCTTTATTCCCAATTCCCTGGCATAGCACAAAAAGTGGAGAAAAAGTGAATGGCAGCATCATGCCATGTCTGGAAAGTACTGGACACGATATCAGAAGAGTCTGTGCTTTGGGGTTGCCATTTATTAGGTGTTTATCCATGGATTGGTTAATTTCTTGCCTATTCTCTTCATCTCTGGAAGTAGAATAATTTTACCCACTGTATATTTATTTGTTCATTCATTCATTCATGAAACATTCTTTGGGTATCCATGTATCATACACTTTCATATATGCAAGAGATACAAAGAAGAGTAGGACAGTGCCTATTAAAGCAAAATAGATGTATAAATAAATAAATGCATGGAAGTATTGTAAGTGCTATGATAGAAGCAAGAAATATGGGAATCATTCTTGATGTCTTCTGTTTTGTTAATCGCCAGGTCCTATTAATTCTTCTGCCTAAACATATCTCCATCAGTCAACCTTTCTTCATCATCACTGTCACCACCTTAAGTCCGACCTGCTGTCATCTCTTTTTGGACCACTGATCTTCCCACACCCATTCTTGAACCCTCAAGTCCATTCTTTTCATAATGGCAAGAGACACCTTTAAAGACAAAGCTGACCATACTAAGTAAGATATTAACAATAGGTGAAACTGGTTGTTTGGGAATATGTGAACCCTCTGTACTATTCATAATTTTTCTGTAAATTTAAAACTTTTCTATAAGAAGTTTATTAAAAGTTTTTTTAAGTAAGGCAAAAACTGACCATATATAGTTGCTGCTTAAAACCCTTTAGTGTTTTTTTGTTTGTTTTTATCCCAGATTCTTCAAATGACCTGCAACATCTATGTGATTTGGCCCTGCTTACCGCCTGTAACAGTCTTTCCCTTTCCGTGCTCCAGCCTCATAGGCTCTCTCTGTCACACTGTCAGGCTTCTTGCTGACAAGGGGCAAGCTGATACTCTGCTCTCTACCTGGCTAACTCCTCAGTCTTCAGATTGCGATGCAATGTCACTTCCTGAGGATGTCATTCTTACATCATCTAAAGGCAATTCTTACAGCATTGCCTTTTGGGGCACTTGTCAATTATAATTACTTTTGTGTTCTGGTGATTTAAAAAAAATGTCAGTCAATTCTATTGAACTATGAGCTACAGCAGGGCCGAGGCCAAGTCTCTTGTGCTTATGGTGCTTAGCACAGTACCTGGCACGTAGCAGGACTCATAAATTGTTGAATGGTAATTAATTAAATGAGGAGAAAAGAAGGGATCTGATTTTTTTTTTTGTTTTTTGCTCATTGTTCTAGAGACTACTAGACCCAAGCAATGCAAACAGAGCAGATTATAATGGTGTAATTTGCTTAAAATTATAAGAACACAACTAGATTAATGTACATGTAAGTCCTTGAAAAATAGCCAAAACATTTTCCCTTTCTTGTAGTTAGGAAAGACTCACAAAGAATTAATCACTAACTCATAAGTTGAGAACAGGAAAGGAAAAAGAAAAGCTTTTAAAAATATTTTAAACCTTCTACTGAATTCATCTGTTGGCTAAATTTCAAAATTGTCAGTATAGAGATTTCAAATTACATTTTAATAAAGTAGGAAATAATTTCAGCTTAATTTTGGAAATAGTTTTGATGTTTTATTTAATACAATGATGCATGCTTGCTTTGTTAAGGAATTGTGGAGTCAAAGACAAAAAGTAACTCAACCAAGGCATTGTATTATGATCTCCAATTTAGATGAAAAATGTTCCTACAGTTCTGTAATATTTTTCATCATTGGAGGCCTTGTTTAGTTTATTTACTTCCCATGAGGGAGCTTAAATAGTCAGTGATTTCATCAGCAAAGAGACAAAAAGGCACCAAGTGGTAAATATGCTGGACCAAAACAAACATTTCACTTAAAAATAATGTCCCTTATTTGACCACCTAATGATATATTGTAGCGTGGCTTTAAGGAGTTTGTTTTACTTGTGTTATAGGTGCATGAAGGCTTTTGGATATATAGCACTTATGGGACTGACGAGTCCAGAAGAAGGTTGCAAGGACAGACCCTGTCCTCTCCCCTAATTGAGAGAAAATGTGAGAAAACATAGAGAAATGCCCGCTTTCTTTCTATCATCTCCTCCTTACAACTCACCCCTTCCTAGTAGAACTTGAAATGGAAATACATAGAAAAATTCTGGAAGTGTACCTGTCAAACTGTTAACAATGGTTGCCATTAGGGAGTGTGAGTGAAGAAAGAAATATATATACTTTTGTTACTAGAAAGCCATTAGTAATTCAAAAATAAATTTTAGTATATCAACATACTGCTTAGCTTTCCGGCTCCGAATCCCCTTGAGGTTAAAAAGTTTGAAGATTAAGTTCTCTCTGTTTAGCAAATCCTCTCAAGGCAAATGCTGCCTTCATTGTTCCACTCTGGGTTCCAGTCTTCACTTAGTTTTTACTTGAGTGCTCCTCACTAATGCTTTTATGAAGTTTTTGTGGTTGTTTGGTTGTTTGTATGCTTTGCCTAGGATTTTTGGTTGTTTTAAAAATATTGGTCTAGCTACCTAGTCAGCCATTCTGTTAGAAGTGAAACTCTCATAATTTTAGCACCATAATATACACCGCATATTACATAATCTCTATTAGAGCTGTGAAATGGTATAATGGCCAGTAGTGCTTTTATGCCATTCACTGGACTGACCCTCTCTCCAGCAAAGAGTATCCGTAGAGTTTTAGCATGCATTTTGTTTGATGAATTTTTTGTGAAATTTAGATAAATACTGATAGTTTTTCCCAGGTTTAAATTATGATGGCTGTGACACTGTGGTATAGAACTCTGTGAGGCCTTGACTGCCCATAAGTTCAAATGCACTTTTGGTGTAGAATATCAGCCCTTCCAAATGTGTGATTCGCTTGTCACACTTTCAGGCTGAAAAACAACGGCAATAACGACAGAAACTGTAGTCCAGAAACTTGTCAGGAGGGTGTAAATGAATTGTTGCTATTTATTATCCTTAAATAGTTCTGTTCTGCTGAAAGAAACCAATTTTTATGGTTTACGTAAAGAATATTTAGCCTATCCATTCATTGAAATAAAATTGACCTTCCCATAGAATGTTTCACTAAACTGCCTTTGGGGTGATGCCATTGACTCATAGTAGCAGCTGATGAAACATATCTGTGGGAGTTGTTGAGGACGTTTTTCATTACACAAGCTGAAGGTTTCTTGTGTATGAACTGCCAAGGGAGAATTTCCTTCTGACCTGTCCAGGAGCAATTTGGTTGTAGATAGCATGAGTTGGGGGTGTGATTGTCTTACTTTTTCCTTTGGCTGCTAGAAAGCTTAGGATCTGGAGGTCCTCCCCTGTTAAGCTCATTCAACTTTATGGCATGTATTTTTATTTACCAATCTCATTGCAGGTTCCAACGTACTTCCCTAATCTTAATTTTTCTTTTACTAATTTTTTGCCATATTAAATGCATATTTTAAAAACCATTTTGAATATTTTTTGGAACATAGTAGGTATATGCAAAATCATTAGATTATTGTTTCAAACCATGCAAATCAGTGAATAACCATGTTTTAGAAGCGAAATTAGACAATTATATGTTTACTTTTGCTTATTTAAAAATTAGATTTTGGTACAATTCACTGAAAATTAGATTTTGGTACAATTCACTGTCTCTAGACCCAAAGGACCATATGTATATGCAAAGACAGTGGAGGCCACTATTAGGATTTCTGAGAAGACCGATAGCTTGCTCCCTCATTTATATGAACAGGCAAATTTTCAAAAGTAAAATCACTCTCCCTAAATATTCTGTAGATTTCAGTAATCTGATAAATGAACTATTTATTCATTTTCTGTCTGGTACCCACACAGTGGATTATCCATAGCAACAATCCTTTTCAAAACTTAATAGGGCCAACTCTGTGTTTATTAGGGAAATAATACCACCAGGTTAAACAAACTATGACTGTTGGTTCTGTGTATTTACCCTCTTTCAAAGGGATCTGCTAAGCCTTCAGTGTTCCATGGTGTAGATCATTAGAGAAGCTGAATTAGGGTATGACTCTATGGTTCTGAATGTGCCATTTTTATAATATGTTTAGAGTCAAATAAAAAAAGATGATAAGCAAATAATGCTTTAGAAATAAAGTACTATTTTGTGTATTGAAAATAGGGCCAAATTCTTCTTGGCACAGTAGAAATCAGAGCTGTATTATGGAAAATATTACCACTCCCAGTCTATAGAGGTTTAAGTAGAATACATAATATTGGCTTAGGAAAACACATTTCTGTTTTTCTTTACTCTAGAAATTACATTGATGTGGAATCTATAAGAAAGTCTGTGCCTTTCAGAATTACAGATATTTTCATAAAAAAAAAACAATTTTTTTTCCCAAAGATTTTGAATTGCTGTTGAAATGGAAATTAAGCCTAAGATCTTTTCATCTCAGTTGTTGAGAAATGAAGTAGTGTTTAAAAATCACAAAATGTTAGAGTTCATCAAATCCAATATCCTTATTTTACAGCCATGAATGCTTTTAGAAATTGGTATAAAGAGATAGAGTCTCTCATCTCAAATGTTCTTGTGCAATATAAAAACAATTTTTTAAAACTAAAACTTGTTAAAGGTTCCATCCTACAAGGTGTACTAATGGAAATACAGTAATCTTTTACAAGAGTAGATTAATAATTCTGTTTTGTTTTTTGATATAATGGGATGGAATACTTTTTTTTTTACTTGTTAGATCTTTGTGTAAGTCAGTAGTGGGGCTTTGCATTTATGTATTGGTTAGGCCTGTTTTGATAAAATCTTTGCTATGTCAAATATCTATTTTCTCAATATAAGTTTTTTGGTAATTTTAGCACTTAAATTATTTCCTTAAATTATTTCCTTTTGCTTATCTTCACAGATTCTGGAACTTTTCAAAGCCTGACCCTCTTCTTGAAACAGTGGAGCATCATACTGAGTTTACTTGTGGTTTAGATTTAAGTCTTCAGAGTCCTACTCAGGTAATGGGTGCTATCTCATGATTTTTTTTATTCTTCCCATACTGTTCAAAGCTAACTCTACATGTGGCATGTGTTGCTTTTATTAATAAAATCATTGCCTTTAGGGCAGAGCTAAGTACATTTACTTAATTAACCTGATCTCCTTTGCTATGTAAATTTGAGCATTGAAATACAGATGACCCTTGAACAACATGGATTTGAACTGCATGAGTCCATTTACATGTGGATTTTTTTCAATAAATACTGTATAGTACTAAATGTATTTTCTTTTCCTTATGATTTTCTTAATAAATTTTCTCTAGTTTATTGTAAGAATACAATGTATAATACATATAATATACAAAGTATGTGTTAATTAACCATATATGTTATTGGTAAGGATTCCTGTCAACAATAGGCTATCAGTATTTATGTTTTTTGAGAGTCAAGAGTTATAAGGGGATTTTCGACTGTGTGGAGGGGAGGGGGATATGGTGCCCCTGACCCCTGCGTTGTTCAAGGATCAACTGTGTTAGGGAATAAGAGGTATTCAGAAACCTGGCATACCTCTCTCCTGTTGAAAGATTGACTTCTCTGAGAGGAAAAGGAAATTTCCCTGGAGATATTATGCCTCGCATGTTGGAGGATTGTCCCCGGAGCTTGGTGGTTGTCAGGATCATGTGGTCCTAGGCTCAGCTGTCCTCCTAAGCAACTGAGACCATGGGCAGGTCATTTCCCTCTCAGGACCGTCGCCCTTGTCTCCACACCCCATGCCAAACAGGAGGCTTCAGATGGAGAACAAAGTAGAAGAGAATGTGTATTGTTTTAATTAATAAATGTTATATTTTTCCTCTTTTGTTCTCTTGAGGACTTGAGAGTAAATATTTTGGACTTTAAATATTCTTTAGGGGTTTTTTAAAAGCTGTTTTGGTTCAGAAATTGTAAAATCAGGTCAGAAACACTACAGTATGTTGTAAGGCACTTTATTGCAGACTGTGAAAAAAATAATATATCAATGAAACTCAAAGTAATATTTGGAAATTCTAGAGTATGACAAAGGAAGTATGCTTTTATGATAAATTTTAGAAGTATGTTTTTCGGTTATGTATTTTACAAAAATTTTTTTTATTGAAATTTAATTTATTATACATATTTCTGGGGTACAGAGTTGAATATCAATACCTGGGTACAATGCGTGATGATCAAATCAGGATAATTAGCATATTCATCATTACAAAATGTAATCATTTCTTTGTATGGAGGACATTCCATCTCTAATTTTAGAAGTTAAACAAAAAGAAAATCCCATTTCGCATTTCTGTGTTCTTAAATTTAGATAAATACACAGGCATCTTTTTATTTTTGGTATTTGAGATGTAAATCTGAGTTTAAAATATTTTCGGGTATGGGGGCCGGCCCGGTGGCGCACTGCTACAGTGCGCCGCTTGGGAGTGTGGCGGTGCTCCCGCCGAGGGTTCGGATCCCACATACAGACCGGCCGCTCGCTGGCTGAGCGAGGTGCAGGCGCAACACCGTGGGTTGCGATCCCGTTGCCGGTCCCGGTCCGGTACGGGCGCGACACTGAGGGTTGCTATGGTAAATGCTAAAACAGAGGGAAGTAAAGGATGCTTTGGGAAAATATTCATTTAATAAATATTTGTCAAGTGCCTATTAAGTGCCAGATATTGTTCTAGGAACTAGGGAAAATGCAGTGAACAAAACAGACTAGATTCCTTCTCTCATGGAGCTTACCGGGTAGACCTTGGAATATTCTCATTAATGTGAGAATAATTGTTTAAATATGATTTAGCATGTAAGAAGAGAAGAAACTGAAATAGTGATGAGTGAAATGGCAGTAAATATAATGTGCTTCAAACAAACTACTTTTATTATAGGTGATTTTTAATAAAATAATTGTACCTGTTTTCTACCTTTGTTTTAAAAAAAGTTGTAATGTACATATTCAAATAGGACAAAACCAAACAAAGGATCCTAAGTAAATACTCATTGAATATTCATTCTTATGTATTTTTGTTATCTGTACTCTGTGGGACCCAGACTGGGGACTGCAGCAGCACCTGCGGCTTCTCCATTTCCTCGGTTATGGCGGATCCTCACTTAGGTGTGAAGAATTCCATGTTTTCTAAATTCTCCATGCGTAGACCCACCTTATTAAGAGGAGCTTTATGATCAGAGGTTCCATTAATTAGATGACACATATCCTTAAATAATAAGATACTTTATTACTGGGCCATATATTTTGTTGGTAGCCTGGTGACTGCTAGTATCTCTTCCAGGTGAATAACCAAATTCCATTTGTACTAAGGAAGTGGTTGCTGTTGAAAGCAAATAGGACTGGAGAAACAGGGGTCCTTGAGCTGGAAACAGGTTCAACGGCATAATGCACAGTTCAACTGTGCTAGAAATCTGAGTTAATTCATAGTGGGACAGAATTTTGGGACTGAGGAGATCTTAGAAATGAGTCTTCCTCTCACTGTTTGTTCTTTCAGCAAATACTTTCATTTGCCAGACCTTGTACTAGGTACTGGGGATTCAGTGGGGAACAGAAACAAACTTGGCCCTGCTTTCATAAAGCATTTAGTCCAGTGTTAGGTGAAATCGTCTCACAAATGAATGTAAATGGACAGCTGTGACAAGTTCTGTGAAGAAGAAGTGCATTGTGCCTCAAGGCTTCATAATCAGGACAGGTATTTGACCTGTTTAAGAGATCTGTAAGGAAGTGAGGTTCATCTGAGTCTGATGAATGAGTAGGTGTTAACAATATGAAGAGACAGAGAGAAGATCATAAACAGGCAAAGGTAACGGTATGCCACAGACCCTGTGAGGGGAGGAACATGGCTAGTATTTGAGAAAGAAAGGATTTATTTCTTCCTTTATTGCTTAATGGGTACAGAGTTTATGTTTAGGATGTTGAAAAGGTTTTAGAAATAGAGGTGATGGTTACAGAATATTGTGACTATAATTCCATGGAATTGTATGCTTAAAAAGGCAAATCTTATATATTATACCACAATAAAAAATTAAAAACAAACAAAAAAAGAATTTATATCTTATTTATGGTATATTATTCAACATTAGAATTTTAAATATATCTTCATTTACTTGTCATGGTTTTAAAAATTGAGTGTTGAGATTATTAACTAAATTTTGTTTCTCCCTGTATTAGTATAGTCAGGCTGCCATAACAAAATCCTACAGACTGGATGACTCACACAACAGAAATTTATTTTCTCACAGTTCTGGAGGCTAGAAGTTCCAGATCAAGGTCCGACAGGGTTGCTTCTGGTGGGGGCTCCCTTCCTGGCTTGTAGATGGCCATCTTCTCACTGCGTGTTCACATAGCAGAAAGAGAAAACGATGAAGAGAGAGAAGGAGAGAGAAGCTCTCTGTGCATCTTTTTATAATTCTATCAGATCTGGACCCACCCTTACAACCTTATTTAACCTTAACTACCTCATTATAGGCCTCATCACCAAATACAATCACATTGGGGGTTAGGGCTTCAACATATGAATTTTAAGGGGACACAATTTAGTTCATAGCACTCCCTATTCTTTAGGGTTAGTTTTTCTTTATGTAATTTTTGCTGTGTACTATGGGTCATATACAGCATTGAAGAATTTTTATTTAATGCATCTTTTATTATTTAATGTATTTTTAATCTTTTAAAAGTATTATTACATACTGACTGTTTCTCTTAATCCTCCTTTGACATCCACTGATTCACTCTTTCATTCTGTCATATTTATGGAGTATCTACTACAGCTAGGTGGGACAGGTAATTACAGTGTAGTATGGTAAATGCTAAAACAGAGGGAAGTAAAGGATGCTTTGGGAAAATATTCATTTAATAAATATTTGTCAAGTGCCTATTAAGTGCCAGATATTGTTCTAGGAACTAGGGAAAATGCAGTGAACAAAACAGACTAGATTCCTTCTCTCATGGAGCTTACATACTGTGGGAGAAATCTAACAAACAAGTAAACAAATAAGATGATTTTATGTGTAGTAAATGCTGTTTAGAATTGGGGCAATTTGATAGAGAATGATGGGGAGGAGGTACTTTTGCTTGAATGGTCTGTCAAGGACTCTCTGAGAAAGTGAAATTCAAGCTGAAATCTGACTAATGAAATGGAGCTAGCCATCCAAAAATGTAAGGGAAGAATGTTTTTCACAGAGGTAACAGCACATGTCAAATCCTTGAGATGGTAATGGGTTTGGTATAATTAAGGGGCAGAAAGAAAGCCACTGTGGCTGGAACCTAGAGAATGAGGGGGATAGTGACAGGAACTAGGTAGGGATCTAATTGTGTAGGACCTTGTAGACCGTACTGTTTGATTTTTACTGTAATTGCGTCATAAAGCCATTGGAAGTTTAAAAGTAGAAAAATGATAGACTCTGACTTGTGTCTTTGAAAGATCATTCTGGCAACTGTGGGAGAATAGACTATAAGTAACAGTGGATGCAAGGAGGCCAGTTTGAAGTCTCTTGAAGTAATCTAGACAAAGGATCATGGTGACTTTAGAGTCCTAGAGATAGAGAGATGGAGATTCAGAATATATTAGGTTGAACCATATGAAATTGCTGGAACTTGCATATGGTTCAACTTAACATTTTGAAGATAGTAACAGTTGAATTTACTGATGTATTGGAAATGGGCTATGAAAGAAACAGAAGAATCAAATTTTACTCCTAGGATTTGGACCTAGGAAACAGAGTGAGCAATGGTTTAATTTACTGAGGTAGGGGAAGAGGAGGAGGTTTGGGACAGGAACAATCAAGAGTTCTGTTTGAGGCATTCAAATGGAAATGTCTGGTGGGCTTGTCTATCTTAGGGGATAGTTTATATGCAGAAGTGAAATGTGTGTCAGTAATAGAACAAAGGTAGTAAAGGAGAAATTGGAAGTATACTGTTGTAATGTTCTTACTACTGCAGTTAATTACCTTAACATTATAAAGTCACGTATGAAAAGCCCACAGCCAACATCACACTCAAAGGT